CCCCATAAACTTCGATCGCCGTGTTCACGTGGCCATGGAATTAATAAATATGCTAAGCGTATTGCAAAAAGCTTAGAACACAACTCAGTTACCGCGGCGTGGATTAAGGTTATCCAACCAGAAACTTAAAAGGAATCCGCCCCACAATTCTAATTCATTGTCGGTAATTCCTAACTCATGCTAGGCGCGCCTTGTTCTGTGCCGGAGATAATTGCTTTTGTGATTGCATTAGACTTTAAATTTCGTCCGAATGTAGCATAATAGCCCGCGGGTATTCTTAAACACTAGCCACTTGTGATACTGCCGGCCTTAGTTCGAAGATTTATCGGCGTGGAGTAGGATTTGCGTCTATACCACATATCGATGATAATTAAACAGTCAATAAATAAGTAAATATTTCAGGACACATTTTTACACAACGTTCTCTAGTCCCAAACTAAGCAGCGCTTGTACTATGTGCACTAGATAACTGATAAACATACTTTTCTTTATATAATAAATACGTATTATACACATATAAACACCCAGACACTGGAAAAACACTATGTTCACCACAGTAGTGGGGATCGAACCCACATCCTGACGCAAGAGGCAAGGTCACTACCCACTAGGCCAATCGGGTAGCTTAGCTTTCGGGTAGCTTCGGAATATTAAGGCACTAAACACCCGATCACCCAACACAGCGGTTCAACAACCAACGTTTCATTCCAATCAATGTCGCTATTGCGGCCAAGTTTGCCTTTTTAAGCAATCAATCAATGAATGAAACCACAAACCCTCGTCAAAGTCCATAATTGAAGGTCGCATCCCAAAAACATAACGAAACCTAAACTTACTTTGTAGTTCGATCTGGTCTCTTGATACTTGTGTCTGGTACAAACAATTTTGTAAGCATCAATCATTAATGCCACTGCAAAACACTGGACATGTAGAAAAAAATATATGTTAGTTAGCGCTTTTGTAACTTTGTTTTTATTTTTTTTTTAATTTTAATAAACACTTTTATACGACCAGGAACAACTCATAAAATTTTTATTATAATCGGATGAATACTATGGAGTAGAGGACAAATATGACGATTTTCTATACAGATTAGGATATTTCACATGACGTCTTGTAAAGTGAAAAAGCAATACATAATACGAATACAGACAATTTGACTTGATAATTGCAGTCTCTAATTTATTTTTTATTATATTTATGCATACTTAATATTACATATCCAACTTCTTGGGCTTAAATAAATCCAATTGTTAATATCATCTCCACCATATCATGTCAACCAATGTATCAAAAACGTAACCAACGTGTGAACTGCACGCGGGGAATGCGTGGGAATCGAACCCACAGCCATCGATCCCGCAACCTCGTCGCCTCGGAACCGCGCACTCGCAGCCGCCGCGATAAATTACGTAGGGAATATTAAAAATCACGCACACACGCGCCAACTGATACAATTCCCCGCTCGCCCGTTTGTAACAGCGCAAAAGTGACCGGTAAAAAGTTGCAGCGGCCGCCCGAAGTGGGCTCATTAAACTAAAATTAACGAAACGCCCCGCGTTCCCCGAAACGGCGCGCCGCAGACTAAATAAGTCCGCGCGCCAATCGTCCCGTTATCCGAAATTGCGAGCGGGCCGCGGAGCGTACCAATTAAACGGCAAAACGTTTCTTCGCTTATAAACGTCACCCCTACTTTGCGATAATGTACTGCGTTGAGGAGACTTCGAGTTTGGAAGAGCTTATCGTTGGTCGTATAAACGCCGCGACGGGCTGTAGTAGGGCCACGCGGCAGTCTTCACTTTGTTTGATTTAGGCAGCTAGCGTAATTCATGCTTTTTTATTTGAGAAAGTGGCAAACGAGCTGGCGGCTCACCTGATCTTAAGTGATCACCGCCCGCCCATGGACATTTGCAACTCCCGTATGGTTGCAGATGCGTTGCCACCTCTTAATAAAGCGAGCCCGGCTGCCTCACTCACCACACGAAACGCAGAAGTGCTACACTTCTTCTTCACGCCGGTCTTCCGTGCGGTCGTGGTACTAACCCGAATGGACAGCCCGTTCGTGCAACAATGAAAACTGTTGCGTGGCCCTACCACCGTGAAAATGCAATGCTGTTTGCGAGCTTCGGGGTCTTCCCATGTCTCGGGCGTAGTCCAGACCAGGTGTACACACTCGAGTGTAACGCGTATACGACATCGTCTTCGACACGACGGATCTTCGCTGTTGCACGAATGGGCAGGTCCGTCCGGAGAAGTATCACCTCACAGATAAATAAAATTGGAGTGTCTGTTTGTAATATTAAAATAACCGCTTTTTACTAAATGTATATGGATGTATATACGGGACATACACCAAAATAACATTTTTTACAATTTTTGTCTGTCCGTCTGTTTTTTCCGGCTAATCTCTGAAACGGCTGGACCGATTTGGACCGGACTTTAACTGGCAGACTGGCAGCTGATGTAATAAGGAGTAACTTAGGCTACTTTTATTTTAGATTTTTGTTTATTTTAAATTTCACGCGGAGGAAGTCTCGGGCACAGCTAGTTATATATAAAAAATACTAGTATATACTTTTATTTTCTAAAACAAAGAATTTTAGAACACCCTTACCTATAAAAGCGTAACGTAAAGTTCATTTGTAAAAGTCACAAAGCATATGAATGGGTTGAATGAATTTAAAAGAGACAAAACATACTGTTAGAAGCAGAATCTTGTAATACGACGCTGTGGCGCGAGTTGTATAGGATGTTACAAATTTTGTTTCTTTTTTATTTAGTTTGTTTGAAAAATATTTTTTTTTTAATTATGGATTTTGTTTAACGTTAATATTTTTTTATGATTTTTGGCAAATAGCGTTAGACGTGTGTTCATTTATTGTCGCGATGGTAATGGCACGCTGTATAATACATATACAGATAAATAAAATTGGGGTGTCTGTTTGTAATATTAAAATAACCACTTTTTACTAAATGCATATGGATACCAAAAAGTACATATACCAAAATATAATTTTTTTAAATTCCTATCAGTCTGTCTGCCTGTTTGTTCCAGCTAATGTGCTGGCTGAAACGACTTTCAATGGCAGATAGCTGATGTAATAAGGAATAACTTAGCATTTTTATTTTGGAAATTTTATTAATTTTAAATTCCACGCGGACGAAGTCGCGGGCAAAGCTAGTTTCAATATAAGAATAAAGTGATGAACAAAAATAATTTAATGTCATTGTTAAAGACGCGTGAGGGGCTCGATATCAAGAATGTAGTACAACATATTATAGGTAGGTAAAGCTAATAAAAGTTAAAAAGGATTTTTCTCTATTTATCCCATATCCACACTAATCATACGGTCGTTATAAAACTATGAACGTTCGTGCACACATCCGCTGGTACAAAAAATTACGGAAGAAATTAATCTGTTAACACAGCGTATACTGGCACATTATGTATTTGATACGGGCCAGGCGACTTAAGAAATTAAGCTACCGCCATTTTGGTAAACGAAGAATATTAATTGGTATGCAATTAAAATGTAATACTAAATCGGAGCCACATAACACAGAAAAGTATAAGGACATCGGACAAATCAAGATTCCAAAGTGTGAAAAGAATACTCAAACTAAATTTATTTCGTTATACCTCAAATAACGAGACTCATACAAGCCCTATTAGTAAAGAAATTTTAGATTTCAACCCAGGAAAATGACATAATTATGTCATAATGATATGTCATTTATTCACCGCTCTTTGTACATGTACCTGCGACCACTCAAATATTCATTCAGAGCCGTGACTTTGGCTACCCTCGAAATTTAACAAGGCACGCTATTACGCAAACATAAAGCGTACATCTTTGAGGCGAATTCAATTTAATAAAAGTCTACCGTACACCGTCACGCACACAGACAGACGGGGCGGGGCGCGTTCCATACATACTAATTTCTTCATCGCACACGCCGCCCAGTCTGAACAGTTTTTGCCCCGCGTAGACAACACTAATACGGCATTACTTGACCTTTATTTCGACGCGCCTGGCGCATCGGGCTGTGAAATACAAAAGATTATGCCTATTTCGCGCGCTTTTTGCGTCGGCCATATTGGAATGATCCGCGTGAACGCCGGATAAATGCATAAACGAAATAAATAACACATAAACCATCCATGCACGCAGCAAGGCCATTTACGGTGAGATCTTAGATCGCGTAATTCGAAAAGCTTTACATGTGATGAAAGATTTTCGTTGATGGTGTATTTGCCTAAAATCTTTACATAGTGCCTATATTATTTGTTTATATATTTATTTGTACGTTTATATATTTATTTGTTTACATTATACAGCGTGTCGTTACCATCGCGACAATAAATGAACACACGTCTAACGCTACTTGCCAATAATCATAAAAAATATTAACGTTAAACAAAATCCATAATTAAAAAAAAAAATATTTTTCAAACAAACTAATTAAGTAAAAAAGAAACAAAATTTGTAACATCCTATACAACTCGCGCCACAGCGTCCTATTACAAGCCTCTCCTTCTAACAGTATGTTTTGTCTCTTTTAAATTCATTCAACCCTTTCATATGCTTTGAGACCTTTGCAAATGAACTTTACGTTACGCTTTTATAGGTAAGGGTGTTCTAAAATTCTTTGTTTTGGAAAATTTTATAACTCTGTAAACATTGATGTTTAAAGAATTTAAATTTTTAATACAACTTTAAAAAGTTATCTCCTATATGGGTGTTCATTTATTGTCGCGATGGTAACGACACGCTGTATATTTGTTTATATTTAGTATGTATTTTTCTTTGCATTCCATTTGTGCAGCCATTTCGAATTTATACACCTTTCATCTATTTTTGACGGTTGCGTAAGCAACCATTCGATACGTATTCGCATGTTGACAGTCTTAATAATACTAAACGTGTTTATATTCCCTAATAGTAAGAAAAAAATAGTCTTGCCCATATTCTACGTTATAATATATGTTTCAATTAAAGATGCTGCTTTTCTACTCTGTGTCGCTGCAGCAAAATGCGCCGCGTACGCGGCAGCGTCGCGGGCCCTTTAGCCCGATACAAATTGACATGTTTACGCCACTAAATCACGACGAACGTAGCGAGCGCGGCGCGGCGTGAGGCGCGGTACCGTTCCGATTTATGCGGATTATAAAATTGGGATTGACGGGCAACGGTCGCTTCGGAGTTCGGAAATCGGCGCTCTAGCTTTAATGCCGTCGAATGAGATTTATTCATTCGTTAGTTTTGAATGGCACTCATGAATGTTTTACCGTTTCTTGTAGACTTTTGTTTATATGTCGTAATTGATATTCGTATGAACTGTATCATAATTATTCCTGGAAATACATCCTAGGAGAATGCAAGTTAAATCTTCTATTCAGACACAATTTTACAGTTTCCACACAACCATGGATTGATTGAGTGCTGGTCGATCTCATAATATTAGCGACCCGCCCCGGCTTCGCACGTGTGAAATGTATTAAACATAGAACCTTCCTCTTGAATCACTCTATCTAGTACAAAAACCCGGATAAAGATCCGTTGCGTCGTTTTAAAGATCTAGTCATACATCGGGACAGACAGACAGCGGGGCGACTTTGTTTTATACTATGTAGTTTTTATACTAGGATGGGTGACAACCCTAATTATAATACCTGTAGCTACAGCTCATGTTTAATATTGTCGTTCATCTAGCTAGAATTCTCTGCGGAAGAATTAAATGTGCCTCCAATCGTTACTAAATTCGAAACTATATTTAATGAATCTACGCCACTGATTTTAATAACGTAACAGCCTCGCCTAAGCTTACTTAGTCGAACAAAAGGGATGTTCCGCCGACCTCAAAGCGAAAAAGATGTCCGCTTGAATGGGCGCTTGCAATTAGCGAGCCCGAACCGCTAATCCCACTAAGCCAACCCTTCCTGGTGCGGGCGTCCGCAACAATGTGATTTACGTTACGCGCGGAACCCCGAGACAATCGCAGCCACCCGCGCCCCATCGCCCGCCGCCGTCCGCGCGCCGATCCAATTAATAATAATGAAGCGGCAATGCAGAGGGCACGTTGCGACGCGCGATTTTCGGGGCGCGCGCGGGCAGAGACGGGGTCAATGCACCCGCGAAACTGGTCCAAAGTTATACGGACCGAGAGGGCGCTGGGCCGAGGGCTGGCAACGGTGCAGTTTCCAGTGTATGTGTGTGTGTTGACCTGGCTGTGTGAATCTGTGTGTGTTAATATAACTTACATCGGCGCGAATTGTCGGACATCGGGTTGATTGGTGTATCGATTTTGTTTTTCCCCGCGATCGCGTCGTTCTGCGGGCTTTTTTTTGCGCGTCTCCTTCTTATCGACCCGAAGGCAAGTTTGTTTTGTTTTTTTTTTTAAACGATCGGTGATAATCGTTACGTGTTTGCCCTTGCGCAAGATGCGGTCGATTTCGGGGTGTTTTTTTTTAAACGGTTCGTATGACGAGGCTGTCTCGATTGAGCCTTTGGTACTCGTAGCTGGTCGATGAACAGTTTGGCAACACTGGCTTACTCTTTTTACCCGACTACGGTGCAGCCAAAAAAGGAGGGCTAAGTGTCTGAGCTATTTTTACGTCCGTTCCTATGTTTCCTCGTTTGATGTGTTTGTTGAAGTTAGCGGCACACGACGCCTGATAGTAACTGATGCTAGTGACGGGTATGTCAAACTTGCAATTTAATCATTTCAATGCAATTCTCGTGAAACAGTAGCTCTCTATTTCACGGTTTTCTCATGCGCAAGAATCGCATCACCATTTGTGCTTCTGCGGTATCACGTTCACACACTGAAACTTGAATATCATTAGCTATCTCTACTAGAAAGGATTGAAAAGAGTCAGACCTTCTTCCTCTTTCTAATCCCCCATTGTTCGGTCCTCGGTCTGGTTGCACTTCTTCGCTTGAGCACCTTTCACCGGAGACTTAACGTATTAGCATACGCTGGATGTATACCAGGCCCAATTAAACTGGATCCCCGTGGCTACGGAACCGGTCCAGCTTTCGGGTGGCCAGCGATCGAAAGACAATAAAGTCCCCATTTCTCACGACGCAGGAAGTGCCAATGCGACAATCAACATAATAATAGAAACGCGCTCCCACCGCGTCTCACTCTGTTCTACAGTTGATGTTCCAAATCCATGGGAAGGTATCTTAAAGTCGATTGCAACGTTTGTTGGTCACATTGCATTGTCAACTAGTTCCGCGCTACGTGCAAAGGTTCAAGTCCTCGGAAAGAAATGGAAGCGGCGAAAAACTTAATTTTTTTCTAAAATTTAAGTATAATTTTTTTTTAAAAAAAGCAGGTTAATAAATCGTGGTAAAAACACTATTGCATAAATCTTTAGGGACATGAAATGTTTTTTTTAATGTAGGTATGTGAAAAGATGAATGTCTGGAAATAGGTACTGTATGCACAAAAACGGTACGAAAATTGAGGATCTACGTATCATGATGAGTTTGAATTCGAAATTGATCATGCCGATGGAACCGAATCACGTTTAAAAAAACAGTCTGAAACTTTTGTGACCGCTTGGCCAGTCTACCGGGCAAATGTGTATAAGAACCTATTGAATATAACTAAGTGGAAAGAGCAAATTGTTCAAAGCAGCGTCGTACAAAATATAACCGACATTATAGATCTTTATTTATCTAACCAATCGCAGTCAACGAGTGCGGTTCCAATAAAGTTAATGCCCGCCATAATAGCCGCCATTGTTCGCGGCGCCATTTTTTCGCGGGAAAAGAGCTCCGCAGCGGGAACCCTGTCGAGTGGGGTAATTACTGGACGAGGAATGATCGAGAGGGATTCAATCAGTTCCGCATCATCTGGCTTCCTTCCCTGAATGGCATTCCCGAAAATATTGTAATAGAATAAGATTCTTAGCGCTAAGCTGGCGATTCACTATTATTAGGGGGCACAGACGAGTTTAATATATCTCTTCTATATGTTACACAAGGTAATTGTAATTGTACGAAATCAAATCAAATCAAAAATATGTTTAATGTACCCTCGCTCTTATGTATTGTCAAATTATACGTCAAAAATTATATATATAGGTTCGTAAGGTACAATAAATGGAGGCGGGAAACAAAATGATACCATGGTCAAACTTAGTTATTGTGTTGATACTTTAATAAAATACGATTTGTGCAAAATTGCAAATTGCAAAAAAAAAGATGCAGGAGTGGATGGAAATTGAACTATATGATTCGATTACAAGCTACAATTACATACAAACACATATGTAAACAATCTTGATTATATACAGCTGAAGCAAATAAGAGCTTGTAAATATCAAAAATAAGCCTGGAAACAGGTTGAGTGCGGGTGGTCGTCGGGTTTGCAACGCGCTGGAAATGCATGTACTTTGTACGTTATCTTTGTTAAGGTTTGGAACTTAATAATTTAATATAAACAACACTGGACAAATTTGTGTTACCAGCGAATTTACGAATTGTGTAATGCTAAATGGCTAAAAAAACTTGTCACGGCGTTATGCTATGACTTGAATTCGATATTTATTATGGCATTAGGTATATATATATAGAAGGCAATGATATTTTATACAAATAAGAGGGACATATGGTACTAGCGCTCCGAAACTGAGGCACTCAAATTACGCTAATTGGTGTAATTAGATTGCTATTCTATAGACTGCTATCTTTTTCCGTATCATACATTCTATATCATTTGTAACATTCACTTGTATATGTCATATAATGTAAATCGGAACAATTTTTAAACGCCGCCCAGTATCGACACGCGTCATCTTTATTAAAACGTCAATGAAATAAGGTTTATTCGTTAAATGTGTCATTGCGCGTTATGTCCTAAGCGGTAGAAAAGCCCATTAAGATAATGGCTGCCATTGGGTCGGAGTCTCTGGAAAGCATAACTTAAACATGGAGAAATTCGAGCATTAAAATTTCACCTGTCGCGGCCGCGCCACGGGACGGGATAGTAACGATATTATACCGACCAGTGTTCGGTATCGGTACGCCGAAACAGGTACATACGTACCGGTTGCGGTGGGCGCCCGAGGTTCCGTGGGTGTACCGCCTCGTCAAAGCGGTACGGCAAAAAGCGACGTGGAACCGGCAATTAAGGGGTACGCGGGCTACCCGCGCATTCCTCCCAATATTTTGCCCCGAGTACGGCAATAATATGCGCGCTTTTTCCGGCCAAATTGCCTCCGGTCATGTGGACACGTTACCGTCATTAAAGGCCCCAGTTTCGGGCCGTTTAAGCGCTTGAACTCATTATGACTGGCAGCGGTCCTTAAACTGCCCCCCCCCCCCCCCATTTCCGTCTTTAGTATATGATAACACTGAGCGTCCTAACATTAATTACGCTTAATTAACGACGCGCTAACGCTTGCGAGGCATTTCGTGACGGCTCGCAGAAGGAACGCGTTCTAAACATATTTCACAGGCCTCTTGAACTTTAATTTTCCCATAGTTTTTGTGGCACGATGGCAGGTTTCGTTATAAATGGATGAGTTTGATCGTATCACGTGCAGACGAATAACGATAAATGCATGCATTCTAATACTAAACTACCGACCCGCCCCGGCCTCGGACGGGTGCAATGTGTTATACGTAGTTTTAAAGATCTAAGCGTACATAGAGACTCACAGCAGGACGACTTTGCTTATACTATGTAGTGCTAAAAGAAATGTGCAAATTTTATCTTAACTACCTCTTGACGCCGGTCTTCCGTGAGGTTCTATCATCATTCATGGTACGTCCCCATATAAGCGTATCAGTTCATACAATAGTAGAAGCTGCTATTTGACCCTACCTATAATATTACATGTATCCTTCCATGATCATATCATGTCCGAGTGATCACTTCTCAGCTAATTTACTTAGCCTTCAAACATAGAGCGCAGTGTAGGATGACCTCCAACTAGAGACAGTGACGACCAGTACTAATGTGCGGGAAGTATGGAATGCACGGTGGTAGGGCCACGCTACAGTGTTCGCTGTTGCACGAATGGGCAGGTCCGTCCGGGTTAGTACCACGGCCTCACAGAAGACCGGCGTAAAGTAGAAGTGTTGCACTTCTGCGTTTAGCGTGGTGAGTGAGGTAGCCGGGGCCCGCTTTATCAGAGGTGGCAACGCGTCTGCAACCCTACGGGTGTTGCAAATGTCCATGGGCGGACGGTTATCACTTAACATCGGGTGGACCGCCAGCTCGTATGCCACTTCACATAAAAAATAAATAAATTATAGCAGTCTGTGGGGGATCCTATGTTCAGCAGTGGCCTAAAACAGGCTGAAATTATGACGATTATCACTACTGAACTTAATCAAGCACCATATACTATAATCAAACGGTTTTATTTAAGCTCGACACGTACGGAATTTATTTGTTTATTTGTGTCAAAATTAGAAATTGAAATTTAAGCACCATCCCGTTGTCAGATTGATCTGAAATTTGGTACACACATTTAATTTAGATGACAATACAATATTGTAGTTTTCAGTGCACAAAAAAAAAACAGAAAATAAAACCGTTTAACTTAAAAGTTTTTAAACGGTTTTATATGGATTTATTTTCGTTTACAACAAATCAGTCGTCTCACAGTTGAGACGACCGTAGCTTTTGATATCCACAAGATAGAGTCGTTCACCTCGGACACTCTTTTTTCTCTTTTCGACAAAGATTTTCGACTCATGTACAGCCACGATTTTGAAGCGGAGATAAATCAAGCGCCCATTATCGGGAGCGGTGCTTGCGCGCGCGTAATGAGACTAGAGTCGATTTTCTTTTCCGATAACTGCCAGAGGAACAGGTGGAAGCATTTTTCAAATTCAAATATCTTTATTCAATACAGAAAACACTTACTTATTTATTGTCAAAAAAACAATACTACCGGTTCGGAAAAACGCCACTGACATGAGAAGAGCCAGCGAAAGAAATTCAGCGGGGCATTTTTTTAAACTTAGCCTTTAACAGACAACCGTTCCTTTACAAGTTTTTTGAATTTACCAACTGATTCATTTTGAACGTTTTCTGGGATTTTTTTTTGTAAAAGGGTATACATTGTCCCATAAAAGATTTACTTATTCTACGCAATCTAAATGAAGGTAGAAATAATTCATGTTTTTTCCATCTATATACATATTATTTTCTGTTATCTGTACTTATTAGCATAATCTGTGGAATTCGAAATACACTGCGTTGTCGTTGTCATAAACGAGATATGCTTAGCCTATGCTTAAGTTTCCGTATTATGTCAGAAATAACGATCCAGAAATGAATGTTTTATTTACGTGCAGCTTTAGGGAAGGATATTGTTGTTATATTGAGCGCGTTTATTTATTAAAAATAACATTAGAATTCTTTAATTCATACGATTTTATAAGCCTTGATGAGTAAGCGTATACTAGTGGCATTAATGGCTCATTCATGGCTGAGGATCCAGACGTGGGTACCAGAACAGCTCGGAGTGACGGGGATAGCATGAATTAACTGGGTCTACTTCGTGAGATTTAAAAGGGGCATTATGGTTTCGTTTATTCGGTATTATGGTAACAGGATATATTTTACGGAATTTAAGGAAATTATGTTTTATTTAAAATCCCTTATCGGTGTACCTTTGATTGCGGGCTATATTTGTAAATCGCCGATTTAAGTTTGTTCCACACTTTAGCCGCAAGTAATCGGATACCGAGTTTCGTATGCGGCGAAACGATCTTCTTATTTAAGTCGAAGCCGGCTGCATTTTGTTTTGTCGTGCATATCTCGATGCACATTAAAACCGATCGAGGGCATTGGTGCGATCGACCAAACAGTGTTAATTTTTGCGAAATTTAAAATTCTAGTTCCCGAAAGATTCTTCACGTGAAACCGACTTATTCGACGTAACTTATTTCTACGTTACATGTAGTATGTGTAGAGTTATGACTTTGTGTCGGTAGACAAATGGCATATTCAGATCGTGTCTTTGGTTTTTCTTATGTACTGCTACGTTCTAAATGGTAAGGATCAGACTTATCTTACACTTTTTTAACGTTTCCTGCGTGAGGTCTAGCGAAACCTGTGCACGGTTTTCTATGTGAGAAGGTGGCAAACGAGCTAGCCGGCGGTTCATGGACATTTGCAACACCCGTGGGTTTACAGATGCGTTGCCGCCTTTCAATAAAGTGGGCCCCGGCTAAATCGCACACAAGATTAAACGCAGAAGCATAACACCTTCACTTCACGCCGGTCTTCTGTCAGGTCGTGGTACTTTCCTGCCCATTCGTGCAACAGCCGAAGCCGTTGCGTGGCCCTTTCACAGTTAATTTTACAGGTCACTCCTAACTCTGCTTTGAGTTTGGCCAGCCACAACGGTTGACATCTTCGCATAAGACAAAGCGACCTGTGACGACCTCATCGGGATTGGGAGGAGTCGGGTTCATTAACGCGAGCTCCGATGGAGATATGCTTTATCGAATTACACCGGCCGCCTCGCTCCAATTTACTTAAGCGCGCCACGCCGAGAATTCCGCCCGCTTTTTTCGCCCCATATGCACCGCCATCGGAGCTGAAACTGATCATATCAAACGAGGCTGATCTGATCTCGTTTGATCTGGCGTGCTCTCGAGAGTACGCGGTTTTAGGACGGGCCCGTCGCCTGCACTGGTACAGTCATGAACTCTCCGGTTTGCCGCGATTTTAATAACCGTATTCGTTGTATGTCTGTTAATTCCTCATTAATGGGATTAAGGCTCATCAACGGGGATTGTGTGGCTTTACCACAGCAGCTCTTTTAGTGGCTCTCTCTTTCTAAATTGGAATCGATAAAGCTTAACGTGACATCCTGTACGTATGTCCATTACAGTGTAAACAGAAAGCAATGTAAAGCTATGTAAAATAATGCCTACTGTACAGAGGAGGCCTTTGCTCAGGAGAACGACATAATTACTTTATCTACTGTGTATGCATACAATTTATTTTTCACGTGTAATAATGTTTTCGTAATTCGCGCCGTGATAAATCAATGCGCGGACGCACGCTTTTAATTCAACATCCTCCTGCAAACTGAGTTGGAATCCTGAAGCCAGCATCGATGAAACTGTTAACTGCAATATTAGGTGTCGATTTATCACTCGCTCAGCAGTGAGGCAAAACTTTGCGACGCAATCTGCATCTTTCATAATGCATTTCGAAGATGTATGAACTGTATGTATGGCAGACGCCAATCCGCGGTGTTGCCGCGTGGCGGACTATGTCCTAATACCCTCTGTACATAGGTGACGTTTGCCTAGCAGTTAGACCTAAATGGCTGTCACTTTACTTCCGTAAAGACAAAACAAGAAACACTAATAATAGAAACAATTGCGATTACCATTACTTATAGTCAACAACCAGGTAATTACATAGATAAGCACTATCTGTTTTGAACGTCGAGGAAAATGATTTTCGCCACGTGATTGACGGGTGATTTTTCCAATCATCTTTAATCACGTTACTGAAAAAATAAAATTTCATCACTGAAATATGTTGATGACCCCGTGACGCAGTTGCCAAGGTGTTGGCTGCGGCGTCGTGGGTCGTGGGTCCGATCTCCACACGGGACAACTAGTTGTGTGACCCACAGATAGTTGTTTCGCATCTGGGTGTTTCTCCACGCGAAATTTATGTTTATAAAACGTTATTACAACACAGGATAATGTTATCCTAAGATGAGGGCAATGCTTAAAAAGAAAAAAGAAGCTTGGCGAGATAATATACACATCGGCGACGTTTACAATCGGTTTCACATAGGTTCAACATTTCGGACCTCGGCGGCTCTCGATGTGAACAGACAGCCGAGATAAGGTAATTGCACGTCGGTCGAAAATTGCCAAAGTGTCGGCGAAACCGCGCGTCGCACCTCGCTCAAAGGGCACGATTGACAGACACCGGTGGCATAATAACACGTGTCGTCGCAAGTCGACTTTCCGTGAGAGAGCGCAATTTGTCCGACGCCTCTGCCGACCCTTTTTGTGCGATTTGAGCACGAAACGCAAATTACGGAAAAGTATTTAACGATGTGCTGTTTTTGATCTACGCTAACATAGTATATTGGCAAGTTTGCTAGTTCTATTTTTTGGCAGCCAGACATAAGGACCGTGGTACGGGTTATGTATGTGTTAAGCGTTATTGTTCTTACATTCCCGAAAGATGTTGAACCACTGTTTAGGCATATTTAATAAGATCAGTAAAGAACAATGCCCACTTCCCATACATTTAAAAACCTGATAATGAAAGTGTATGTATAGTTACAAGGTATAGCAGAAAGACTACCTTTAAGTTAGTAAATTAATATCATATAGTCAGTTTTACGATTGCTGGTCTACGAAGCGCAAAAATTATTAAAAAATGTTACTTTTTAGGTTAGGATTTGCAGTTACCTAACATAACGAAATAAATGTGCTAGAACTAACTATTTACGCTCAAGTTTATTCTAAAATAATAATATTAGCCTATCTAAGGTCTAAAACGTCTTTTTTACTTGTGAATTCCTAGAAACCGACTGCCCTTACGTCACTGCTTACACTTGATTATTGTCACTATAAATTGAGTGAAGAGCATCTGCTGTTTCAACAGCTCACATAAGTACTAACTAAAAAAACGTAAGTTAAAAGTGATCATTTATCTGCCCTACACATTTCATTGGCCTGCACTACAATACATAATAATCGATAATTATATTATAATACCTGATTAATAAAACGGGGGAATAAATAAAACACTATGTTACAGTGGAATGCTTTATTAATTATCATCATCTTCACTTAAATGTCATATCTATGTTATCCAAAAATTCTGCCATATTCACACAGAGATATTTTCTTGATAGTTCATCTGAAGTACCACACTAGTCATAACATGAGTGCAACATCCTATGGTTCGCCAACCAACTAAACAATAACAACAGTATTCAACTATACAAGCTCTGCCAGACACATTATTTTCTATTAAAATGTAGACATAATATTGTTTTCTTTAAATGTGCCAGGACTTAATTTTTCCTCTATTAGTGTTATGTCACCACTTCCTCAGATTATTCCTAGAAAACCCCTGTGTCCCTACATATTTCTATTCTATGTGATTCATGAAAGCGAATATGTTCACCATAACAGGATTTGGCGTGCCTTATTTGGTACCTAATGCAAATAGTATAAGTTCACTAATAACTTAATCTCAGAAACATAAAAAATAAGTTATCTTCAGTAGAAAAACACCACAAACTTCAGCACCATGCCTGATATGTGTGGCAGCACTCTTACAACACATCCAGCATGAATGGCATATTCTATCTATTATGATATCTACAAAAGAAAACTATCTACAAAAAAGAAGTAATAAAGCAATAATTATTATTCATCTTAAAAAAAATTTTTCAAAACTCAATTATGTATTTATTTGTGGTTAAAATTATTACAGCATCAGTCAATTAATAACAGATATAATAATTTACATCTAAAATACAAAAGAGAAATAATCTAGAGTAATAGTATCAAGTTTTATACTGGCAAATGATTAACAATGTAGAAACATGAATATGTGATGTTGTGAACCTGTTTGTATAATAGCATTTATCTGTCTTTGCTTTTCTGAAGGATTATCAAAAACTGTGTTCTTCGACCTGGTTGAGATAATCCTGAAGCTTGAGCAACATCACAGCTTGTTAATTCCTGGTTTATTCTTCTCATAAAGAGTTCATTACAAGATTTACAAATGTAATCTTCTTCAGTAATCTGAAAAAAAAAAAACATACATTAAGTATATACTACATATTTTGGATATATAGTTCTTTTAACAGTTGTTTGTGTTATGTCACAGGTATAATTTATAGGAGCTTTGTTAGTTTGATTTAGGACATCAAGTTGGGATTAAAATTGTAATAGGCAAATAAAAACATAAATATCCACATTACTGGCCTATATCGATGAGTATGAGTCACTCGCAGAACTGTCAAATGTCAAAAAAATCCATTTACGTCAGCCGTGCGAACTTTATTACATGCTGCATTAATAATTTATTATTTTATTTTTAATAAATCTGTACTACTAATCTTAATTTTTATACAAATACTGTTAATTACGTGCTTACTCACTTCTCTAAAGCGTAAAATCACGTACAAAACTCAGAAAAAGTTGAATACAGTCAAGTAGGTAGTGTGAAAAATGGAACGTCCTATGCAAAGGATTGTTAAGGTGCGTTCAAAACATGGTAATATATTCACCCTTGAAGTAAAATAAGCGTAAAGAAATATCAAAAAAAAATTTTTTCCCGACCTTCTTTTAACATTGTGATTAGTGTAATTACTATAAAATGAAATTAGCTAAATTTTAATATTTATTTCACTGCTATACACAATCAGGTCAAAAATGGGCATTGTTCTTTTATCGTCAAAGAGCCAGGCATCAGCTTCGGCTATTATACGGATGGGCTGTGTCATTCGGGGGAGTAGTACTTACCACGGTATACCGGCGTGAAGAGCAAGTATTATACTTTTGTTTCGTCTGCTGAGTTAGGTAATCAGGGCCCAATTTTTTAAAAGGTGGCAACCCATCTGCAGCCCATCGGGTGTTGCAAATGTCATGGGTGGCAGTTATTACTTATTACTTGGTGGACCACCAATTACCGCTTGCCACCGCTTGCCGCTTTCTCAAATAAAAAAAATGACTGAGGTCCCATTGGGAGTTATCAAGTTTTCTCTTTTTCTACTGAATTTACCACGTGCAGAGTCTACTGTGCCTAGTGTCCTGCGACAGGCTTGTCACCTGTCACGATGGGGTCAAAACAAGCAGACCAACAGTAACAGGTGAAGCATTAATTGCACTACTTCCCCCGCCAACACGTTACGCTTAACACCAGTAATAGTACTGGTAGTAAGTGTTTGTACACAAATTGTATCGAGTCAGGATAATAGATGTAATGCATTGATCCATGCTCCTAGTTTCATATCCGGGGCCTTTGAACTCGAGTCGTCATACCGGTCTCTAAGCCACCGGCATCAGAGTATTGACAGTATGAGAAACGTTTTGCGTTGCCGATAATTTTTTTTGCACCGTCATCTGACAGGCCCGGTATTTGGCAGCCGACGACGTTGACAGATCGACCCGCGGTGACGCCCGAAGCTAGGTGATTCATTCGCGTGGTCCGATCATTTTGAGTTTAGTGTGGACCTTACGGCTGATGAAATAGACTCTAAATATATCGCAACAGCTACTCAGATATGTTTTTCGATGCGTCCAGTTTGCGCAGACCCGTGGAGCGTGTCAATTTCTAACTGGACTGCTAGTTTTACGATCCGGAGCGAGCTCAGCTGGCTGGTTTAGATTGAAGCGATAATTTGCCCATCCCAAATCCGGTGGCGCGGCGTGAGGTAGGCACCGTTGTATGTTCGGATACGAACCGCTTCAGGGTAATGGAGCTATCGTGTTAATGGTCTAGATTTCTTTCGCGACTTTCGTAGTCCTTTTTCTATTAAGGTGGTAAACTACCATTATTTGGTAAGTGTTAAATGCATTTAACAATAATCATTAAATAATCTGTAGAGATACGAGATACACAACAACCGTGCAGTTAGAGTAACTTTGCTAAACTCTTTGAGGGTATACCCCAGCTTCAGGACTAACTAGACGAAACACAAAAGTATAAACACTTCTACTCTAAGCTCGC